AGAAACTCATATAAAGAAGAGTACTAAACAGAGAAGCTAGAAAATATGCAGCTGATGAATCCATGCAAAAATTCTAAACAAATAGCTTACCCGTGCTGCTCCTCTTTTATGAGCATGGTAGGTAAGTCCATCTTTATATTCTCCATACCAATAGTAAGTTCCAGATCTTTCATCATATAGAATACCTCCTCCATGAGCATGAATAGGATTTCCCTCAGTATCTAACCAAATTCTTCCTGGATAATAGTAGAAGCTATCATTTCCTGCATTATTCATTGGATTTATAGCAGTTTTCATACCAGGAAAGAAAACATGCCGAATTTGGGAATTCTCATCAAGAAATTCATCAATTAGAGTGGTTGCTCGCTTTGGTCTCCTTTTTGCAGCACGTGGAGATCGTTTCCCCTTTGGAGGTGGAATTTGAATATTCTCCTCCTCTACGTGTTCAAGTTCTTGGACAAGCGGATGATGTCTCATATGCAATTTAATCCCTCCACCCACCTTACCTTTGTGGCTAACAAGAGAGTATAGATGAAGCATTAGGAGAAACCCCACCAAGCTCCAGACCAATACAGACACTGAACATCTGCTTCCTGCATTCCAATGGAAAGTAGTTGGTTTCCTGTATTTGTTCCTCACCCTCATATTCTCTTTCCTTTCTATCTCCAAGATAACACTGCACTTAAAATGCAACCTATTCGAGACCCTGTTAGGGATATTAGAGATATTAAGAGAGATGAAATCAATTACATTAAGTTAGTGATTTAGTTAATTATAGTAGGAGATCTTAGATTTATTATTCAATTATTATGATGAATTGTATTTAGCTACAGCAAAGCCTACATAAAGGATCCTTACGTAATTAGTTTTATTATATCTCACAAGAATAAGAATTATGCCGTTTTTTCAATTTTCCCTAGTCACATTTACATGCTTTAATTTCTTCTATAGACCCAATAAATTTTACCAAGAGTAAGTCACAACCATGAAAACTTATATTTGCTCTGAAAAACCAATCTCTTTTCGTGAAAATTAGGCACAAGAAACTTCAGATCAACACTGTGATTAAGGAAAATTAGACTAGCAGGTTGATTATAAGTTTGTTACTAACTCCAGAATTAGTCAAAAATTCTTCAAGGCAAGAACTACAATTCAAATGAGAAAAACCAGAAAAGAACTCAAACCCACATATTTATTTCCAATCCCAATTTCAGTCAAACTCAGACCTTTCTGCTCAACCCCATATAGCAGAACCACAAGAGAACCCAAAAAAAAGAAAAAAACCTCTTTCCACCCTGAAACAAAAACTAAAACCAAAATGAAAATAGAACTAAATAAAATTAACAGAGAGAGAACTTACCTGACAAACTCCGAATCGGGACTTGAAACAAATTCCCAGACATGGGTATCTCTGTTTATCCTCTCTCTCCTTGAATTTCAGAGCAGAAAACCCAAGAGAATCATAGTCTGTTCATTCGTCCAGAAGACAATTCAACAATCCCAGTAAGGTCCCAGAAAATGGAGAATTTGTGACGAAGAATAGAGGTTGAAAAGTTTGTGTCTTGTTTGCTTGGAATGGATCTAAAGAGGTTGATGAAGACGGAGACGACCGTGACTTCCAACCATAGCCTTTCTCTCCCCTCTGTCTGCTCCGAAGTTACGAACTAATCTTGGACATCTCTGTGCCATACAAGGTTTCAATGATGTAATAATGAATGAATTCGCATTCTTAATTTTCCTTTTCCATTGTTGTGAGTTGCGACAATTTATTATCTCCTTTTTCGTTTCCCCCCACCGCCCACTGCCTTTTTTTTTTTTGATGTTTTATGCCGCTAAGTACTCTCACCTTCATTTTATGGCATATTATTATTATTATTTCCAAAAATTAAAAGTTTAAAACCACCATTTTCCTTTCAAGGGAAAAAAATAATGCAATTTTTACCTTTGACTTCTCATTTTCTTATCTATTACTATATTATCGTAGCACGATGTTGTGGAAATAATTTTTTTATATTATTTTTTAATATAATTTTTATATATTATTAAATAAATAAATATATTTAATATTA